AATGCATTCGATACTGTGGGCATATGTCATAATCTGAATAACCGACCGAAAAATAGCGTTAAAATGGAACACATATTGAAATTCTTCATGTAGTCTCAAAACAAAAATACGAAACTTTCCCAAAACCAAATCGAAGAAAAAAGAAAAAACCATGACAGAACAATAAAAAAAACAACAAATTGACTGAAATCGCCATACACGAATGAAACAAAATGAATGAAAAATATCAAGCAAAGCAACAAAAAGTAAATAAAAAAAAAAACAAATGAAAAAAATTTCAAGTTGCATTCGATTCGATTTGAATCACCTTATAAACAAAACAAAAACTCTAGTTAAAATTTCAAAAAAAAAAAAACGGCATATTATGCTAACCAAACTAGTAGAATAGACGGAATTTCCGATGAAAAACAATTTTAGGCAAGACAAAGAACGAGAAAACCAATTTTTGAAATTGAAGTAACGCAAAAAAGCAAAAAAAAAACAACAACAACAACGGATTGAATTAAAACAATGCTAAAGATATTATAACTGTACTAGACATATTATGTAAATTAAAAGCAAAAAAAAAACTGCAAAAAAATAATAATCCGACAAAAATACATTGAAAAAAAACACACACAAAAATTATCTTAATTGAACTGTTATTTAGTGATATACATCTATGTACATGTAAAACTATGAATACATAAACACAGTTCTCAACAAAATGAAAATGAACAAAAAATGCGTTTTTTCTTCTTCTTGTCCCTACTTCATGTCAATTTTTATTACGTTCTAGCTTAGCTAAAGGCTCTTGTTTTCGAATGCAACATTCGGAGTGAGTGTATACGTGTGTCGGCGGCAGCGTGAGCTTACCATTGAGACTTGTAACGTGATCATCCAATCAAATGAATCGAAATGAAAACTTTTTTTTTCGCAAAAGGTAATGCGTCTCCATTGCAATGCGAATTCACTCGTCGGGTGGATTAATTTCTTGTGTGAGCGCAAATTCCCCAATGACCTCAGCGAAATGATGCTGGTGGGAACCATCATCGTCGTTGGTGGTGGTGGTGTTATTTTGAAAACTTCAACAACAGGAAACTCAGCCGAGAAATGTTGCGCTCTACCTACTTTGTATACAAATATTGGGTATTCAAACAAAAGCCGAAAGAAACTTTTTTTTTTGCGTTTGCTTTTACCGTTTGCTTTTATCGTGCTTTTATCAAGCGAGAGCGAGAGCGAGAGAGAGAGAGAGCGAGAGAGCGAGAGAGAATGAGAGAAAGAGCGAAAGAGAGAGAAAATCGACCTAGCACGCAAAGAGCGTTTACATAATGTAGCGCCTTTTCAATTATGAATAACCATTTTCCTCGTTTTTTTTTCTGCTTTTTTCCGTTTTTCCAACAAACGAATGACGTCAATCCAATCGCAAATCGTTTTCGAGTCGCCTGTATGTTACACATGCCAGAGCGCCAATTATGCTGAAATAAAAGCATAAGGAATGAGTGTACTCGCACACAAGCACAAGCAGCGTGAGAAAGAACCACACTCACACAACTGCTATTCTCGAAAAGAATTTAGAATAATGCGTCGCATTAGATACATGGAAACAAGGAAGGTTCGTCGACCAAACTCAAGGACAAATGCCAAATAGTTCTAGCTCTTTTATTTTAGGCTCTCCCGTTAGCTCCCTTTTAGCACATATACATATCTATCACTGCTGTGTGCTACTGTTGCTATTGCCAACGTGGAAGAAGAACAACGCGCGTTCCAATGATGTGTAAACACTTGGTTTTATTTATTCCGTAGTAGAAATGTTTTTTTTTCTGTTCGCGCTTGCTACTTTCAGGTCGAAACATGTTAACTGCTCAGCTATCCAACAATGAACATATCCCAAAAATACATGTTTCTTTTGTAAAATAAAAACAACAACGCAATAGATTCGCATTCGATTCAATAAATTCTAAAGTCAATCGTAAATGGTTTTTTTGTGTGTGTAGATATCTTGTTACCACACGTTACGGTCATCTGTTTTGGTTGTGTTTATGTTGATCTTCTCTCTCTTCCTCTTTCTGGTTGGGTCGCTATTTTTTTTCATTATCATAGTCATCGTCATAGTCATTGAAATGCGAAAAAAATCACAACAATGACACAGTATTCAAGGGATTCTATCGGCTAAAAACCCAAATCCAACCATTTCATTATTCGCACCATTTTATCCAACCGTTTTGTATCTGTGTGTTTTTTTTTTCTCGAGTTGCTTCAAATATTATGAATTTTTCGGGGCGTATTTTCTTTGTGTACAAAATCTCAATATTCACAGACATAATCTCAGCCCTATACTGATGCGAAAGCAGCAGCAGCAGCAACGAGTGGATGACTCATCACACAAAGTGGTTGTCAGAATGGCTTTGCCATTATGGGCTTTAATACAAAATGCGTAGATAAAAATTGAATGCGCGTATATAGAATTAATTTTTAGCACTACATGAAATGTAGAGCTACTAATCTGCTCTTTTCTTTTCCTAGATACTTTTTGAGTGTTGAAACAAATTATGGTGAATTTGAATTTTATGCTCATATTTTTTATTTAATTTAAAACAGTGGCAGTTACGACAAATAAGTGCATAATATATCAGAGCGCCAATCTAATTTTTATCATCAAATGTTGTTTAAATATTACATTAATTTTTCGTATAATATTTTCTGAGTCTTGAACAGAATTAAAGTGATTTTAGATTCTATGCTTATATTATTTATTTAATTTAAACCAAAGGCAGTATATTTCAAAAAAAAAATAAAACCAAGGTCTTGTCATTCATTTTGCAAATAAATATATTACTTCAAAGTTACTTTGATGAAATACATTTCATGTAGTGCGCCAAAAAATAGTTTGTTGTGAAACAACAAAATAGATTAAATAACTAAAAACTCAAGAACGCAGAGCGGAGCAAAGCGAAGCTCTGCGGTCTTGTTTTTTTCTCTTTTGCTTTTTATGACACGTATAAAAAAATCTTTTGTATCCAAATAAAATTCGATTCAATTGAAGGCATCAATAATAAATAAGGGAAACCTTCAAATATGATGGCATTTGATTGTCGACGCGCTTGTTTTCTTCGCCGTTTGTTTGAAAAATAAAATACCGAGAAAGAATTGTTATGTGTATCGTATTCTTTGAACAATTACCATGTCTCTATTGAATTTATGGAAATGAAATTGGATTTGCTGTGTGTGTGTTTTTTTTCGCGTTCAGCCGATTTTATTGCACACCGAAGAACAACGACAACAACCGTGCCATTAATGACTCATTTTTGGTTGTTTGCATCATTTAACGTGAAAGGAAATCAGCTGACGTCTTCTGATTGCATACACTTAATCTGATTAAATATTTTTCTACCTCATTTCGATGCGCGATGCGAAACGAGTAAACAACTCATGTTTATGATATTTACGTTAAATTTTTCCTTTTTGTTTGCAGCGCATCTGGAGCTTATATTGGAAGCGTTTTTTTGCAAACAGTTTAAGATTCCAATCCAATTTAAATAGCAAGAGGATTTACGGGAACATCGATAGAAAAAGAAGAAGGAGATACAATGGCAGCAAAAACGATGACAACAACGACAGCAAATGGTGCCACAATCGATATGGGACCAGGAACTCATGCCGTACCCTTGTCACTGTTTCGAGACAATCGATTGCGTGTATGCAACGCATTAAAGAACATTCCAAGCATTGGCAACGACAAAAAAGCGTTTGTATTGCTGCAAGGCGGCGATTCGATTCATTTGTACAATACTGATGTCGAATACGTTTTTCGGCAGGTAAGCCAACAGCACCATGCTGCTGCGACGTTTTTTTTTTTTCTGCCCCGGCTTGTTATCGGCCAAAATGATAAGAAATTGCACAATCGTTTTACATTCTTCCGGCGTCGGCGCTTGGACGCCGCCACTTGTTTACTTGCTTTTTTTCCATCGTTCTGATGCGACTGACATACATTTTAAGCCTTCAAACGAATATCAATTTGACGAGAACTGATTTCGTAGAGATACGAAAAACCCACATAAAATACCCACCAATTTTTTGCCGTTACTTTTGAATGGAAAAATTATTCATTTTCGACGAAAAAGGCAGCGAGAGAGAGAAAAGCACATATATTCTTTGAATGAAACAAATTGAGTTTTCAAGACCTTTGAATTTCATGCATTCGGAAATGAAAGTTCCATGAATTCATCATTGCACGAGAATAACTTTCGCAGAACATTCATCAAATAACTGAAGCTCATTTCAATTTCCAAGTCACAACAACAATATGCGAACAATTTTTTCGATGCTATCTTTGAGATTTGGTTCTGTGGAATGAATGAGAAAACATTTCGCAATTTTTCATAGAATTTTCTCAACCATTTTATTATTTCCTTAATATTTTCGCCAAGTTTTGAAAAAAGTTTCGCATGAAATGTTTTTCGATTCAGCTCGAGGGATTGTTTGAAGATAACTCAATCAATTATGATTATAAATGATTGGCTTTTCAATAGATGATCACATCGAAAGCGCAGTAAAACTTGACTTTCGTAATCATTTTGCCAAAGCACAATAAACACACGCACACGCACACGCATGGCTATGCCAGACAGAGAAAGAGAGACGAGAGAAAGATGGATGGTATGGGGAAGAGAGATAAAATTGAAATGTGTCATAATTTGGTCGTTGGGTGTTAATTAATTTCATTAAATAGATCTGAGTGTGTCTCACTCCCTGAAATGAGCATTCGAGGCGAAGTGCAAAGTCTCAGTTGTGTTTGTTCTACAGTAGAAAAGGCAGCTTATTTAACAGTCTGCGACAGCAGCAACAATAACAACAAAAATAAAGATTGTTTTGTATGAAACAGATTGCCATAATGATGCTAACTACGCATTGATCCGGTCTATTTATAGGAATCGAGTTTTTTTTTCTTACGAATAACAAAACAATTTCTGCGAATGAAATTATTATGTGTTTTATTCTCTTCATCGCCTGTCTATTATTACAGTAGGGTCTCGGAAATTAGCAATGAGATAGCGAAAATGCGAAGTTGCGTTTTTTGCACACAAAAAAAATCAACGGGCAAACATTTTATCGATTTTAAAATAAAGTGAAAACCATTTCACATACCGCCCCGGAATGGAATGGTGCTAGTTAAAGTTCAGGAAAAAACAAAAATGAAAATCGAAGAAAAACTGCAAAGAAATAATTAATGAAAAGTCTATAATTATTTTGTATGGATATTTATTTAAATCATGACATCGAATCGATAATATTCTACGAAATAATAATCGAGCTTGGAAATTGGTTGCGCGCGCGCGCGCGTATTAGTGTGTATGTGTATTTGGGTGCATGTGTTCCGAGTGGAGTTTGTCGGTCAGCAATCAACAGTGCGCCTCATTTTTCTCACAAACACCAGCGAATTTAATTGCTCGCCAGCGCTCAATTGATTCGCTGTTTTTGCGGCCGCAATTGATTTGTTTTTCTTTTTTATTTTTAGCGCTGTAACGATGTTTACAGATTAAATCAAGTAATCAAATCGACAACGATTGCATCGTTCATTTTTCGCCAATTTTGATTATACGATGATGTTTTGACGAATGATTTTCGTCGTCGATATACACACACAGAGCACAGGGAGATTATTCAATCATTATGAAATTGAGCGTGGAAATGATGATTTGATTACAAGCATTCCAACGAAAAATCGAATTGATTCTGTGAAACTAAACTCATCCACGCTATAGAGAGATACCTACCATTCGACTCCGTTTTATCATTTTTGCGAGAGAATATAACATTGATTCTAAATTGAACAGTTGCCAATATACGAGATATTGCTGTAGATATAAAACACAAATCGCGCGCCCCAAGACGACCATATCCAATAAATTTGCCTCTCTCGATATATACATGCAAATATATCAATGAACTTTAAACAACTGAAATTCGGCCGAAAAAAAAACACAACATAACAAATACATATGTACACACGAGCCACACGAACGACACTCTTTTACGTCGCTTTGCGTATATAATAAAGCATGAATCGTCCTATGCGGAATGACAAACGTGTACAATTTTGTATATTAATCATTGTTTTATTATAATTCTCTCTTTTTTTTCGTTCACATGTTCGTTCGTTCGTTCAGGCATTTGTCACTTTAGCCGACCGTTTTATTTTAAATGGCTCAGACGACAGCAATTTTCAAAACCACGACGCAAATTCATTGAGCCAACACTTTTCATTACGAAATTCTCTTATCAATAGAATGAGGAAATTTGTAAGAATTATAAAGAAAAGAATCAACTCTTTATCATCAAATTCCGTTGTGATGAGAAAGTGAATTTTTTTTTTCGATTTTTCTTTCGACGCTACATGAATCGTAGAGCTGTTTAATTTTTAAAATTTTTAATCATTTTTAATTTTCATTCCAAAGAATACTTTTGAAATTTTTCCTCACCAGTTTTTTTGATTATTTTTATCAAACGTGGAATGCTTTGTATACTGATACATGTATTTGCTTGGAACTCAGTTGACCGAAGCGCCATCTAAAGAACCGATGGCGAATTCGTTATGTCTGTATGTTATACTTCAGTATGACGTTTGACAGAACGGAGAGTGTACTTGATTGTATTGTCATTAGCCTTAGATTATCTAGGTGGTGTTTGCGCTCAATATCAGTTGTCAAAGTAAAAAAGAATAGGACCGTTGATTTTTATTCGGTTATCTGAGTTGCCTTAGAAGTTTTTACATTCGGATTTTAATGAAACAATGAGAGAAAACGCTAAAATGTTCATGTTGCATCACAAATCGAATTTATTTCAAGAATTGTGTTCAAAAGTTGTATACTTCTGTCAGCGTTGTGGGCATCATCAAATTCAAAATTAGTAAATAATTGAACTCTAGCACAATATCGACATATCTTTCGAGTAAATTGAGCAATAACATCCGGTGTATGCATTTTCTTTTGAATATTTTTTCTTGCATCCGTAATGGCTGACCCAACTGTATATTCGTATGCCTTTTTCTGAGCACTGTTCGGGCTTTTTCCATGGCAAAATGTCGTCAAACCATTTGCTTTGCTTTGCTTTGCAATCGATATACGCCCAATCTCTGGCTCACACTCATTATAGTTGTGGCCAACTTACTCTGGTATTCCGTTTGGAACTTGACCATATCGTAACCATGTGTAGGAGAAATTATTAGTTTTGAAAAGAAAAATTCTTAGACTTTCAATTACAATATGAATGAGAAATATTAGACGAAATTGTTACCTGTGTTGACAGCAACCAAAATCAAAACAATGAATACATGTCTCATGGCTTCCTTTCAAATCAAAGATTGAAAAATATAATAACTTGACACTCAGTTCACCGTTCTTTTATACACACTAGGATCGTTTGATGCGGCGCTTCAATTAAAAATACTTCAAATTGCTGGAATGTTCACACTTCACACTCAAAGGGAAATATGCCGTGCAATTATCGGAAGATAATTAAATATTTGTTAAATATCATCCATTAAACACTGAGAATTACTTCAATTTTTGGAGTTTATCATCATCACTAATTGACGTAATTGACATTATTCCAATTTTAATTGGATTGCAACTTTTGTCGACCAGAGAGTATGGAATCTGTAAATTAGTCTGTTTCAAGCGAATTTACATGGGTTGCTGTTTTTCTCAAAACAAAGCGAACAAGAGACAAAAAATAGCATCATTTTCATTTGAACGCAACGTCAATTGTATTATGTGAAGATTGTACAATATTTGACGATTTCGATGAACTGATTGCATTATTTGCTACAAAACATTCGCGAAAAGAAATTTACGGCGGAATAAGTGCACGTCGACATTTTTTCCGTTTAAATGGAGAATTTGATGTGATTTTCCTCAACTAAAACAAAATTATCCAAGAAATATTTGATAAGTTTCTTAATCTGTACATTTTTTGTTCTCTAAAGAGCTCAGTAGCAAAAATGCCATCTTAATCGATACATTGTTCCATTCCTTTAAAATGATTCATTCCTCCTTTTTCTTTGGAGAGTGTCGACAGATTGGATTTTAAACCAAGCGGTGACCCATCATAGCATGTGCTTATTTGAAGTCGTTGGCGTGAGCATTACGTCGCATTTGTGTTTTTGCCCTCAAAACAAAGAGGTCTCTCTCTCTCTCTCTCTGGAGTTTCGTGTGGTGCGCGCACACACGTTTTTGTGGCAGCGTTTAATGAATTTTCATTGTGCTATTTTGCGTAACATATTTCCATATATGTAATAATTTTCCGATGTGTCGCCAGCAAGACGAGTCTCAATCACTGTATGAAATACACCACCATAAAATTACATACTTAAAAAAAAATCGATCGGTAATTATGCTGTTGTTATGTTTTTACGACTGCTTTTCACTTTTACGTTCGTTATTTCATATTTAATTGAAATGCGACGTTTTTCTTTTGTCGTTGCACGTGGATTTTCACGTTGTGGAGGCTTTCGTTTGGATTTTCCTCATTTAAATATTGCTCGTGTCGAATATTTGCTTCGAATTTTCCGTTTTGTTTATTTCTTTTATTGTTGATCGATTATTATTGATAAAAGTGGTTTCTTCATCATTTCAATTAGGAGCCATTTTTCACGTATTTCTTCGGGGTGCGTGAGCCGGGATTTTATGGCGCTGTGAATGTGTCTACCGGCAAAGCGACACTTTTTGCACCACGATTACCAGCGGAATATGCTACTTGGATGGGAACACTGTGGACACCGGATGACTTTAAGGCCCGTTACAACGTTGATGAAGTTCGTTTTGTGGATGATGTAAGAATTCTCGTTGTCTTTTCATGTGTTCGCGTTTTGTTAGTTTTTCACATGCATCCATTTCATAACAATATCTGTATGGCTTCAATGAACTTGCCCGAATCGACCATTTTTTTTCACATTTTTCTTTCGTCCAATTAGCTCGATGCATTCTTCACGGAACACGAGGCATCCCAATTATTACTGTTGGTAAGTAGTTGCATTACCGCTTTGATTATTAAGTCAATATTTACATTTTCAACAAAATTAGTAAAATGTACGATCGAAGACGATTATGAAATGCATGCAGGCGATTCAAAATGTCGAGTGTTCGGCAATTGAGCCGGTGAAAAGAGATGAAGACGGGCAGAATGGAAGATAAAGAGAAAGAAAGAACGACTTTGAAATGGAGAGAGTGTGAGAATTATTCTGGTGATACGACAAAATACAATTTACTCATGCTTCCGCTTCTGATTAGTACCACACTCGATGAGCCTAGACTCTATCAAACAAATATTATGCATATGTACGCAATTTGATGATTGTGCGCAAAATTCGGTTTATATTACAATATGATGACTCGGTCGTTCTCGGTCTCTCTCACTGAATTTCTGTGCTCGTTTTCGGTTTCATTTTCGATAGCAATGCGTTGCTGTTGCTGCCACCGCCGTCGTCGTCTCTATGAAAAAGCGTAGTAGATACGTTTGGAAAACACAAAACAACTCTCAAAACATACAAACACAGCACAGTCGTCGGGCGCACAGCGAATAAATAAAAAAAAAATAACATACTTTGAACGAGTGGAAAATATGCCTGTTTTTGTATTATTCATCGGCTCGCTATCACGCGCATTTTTCGACATACAGCGCTAAATTCCAATAAAAATGCCATTTTTTAAGTTTTTTTTTTTTTAAGCTAAAGTCACATATAACGAAAGTCACGTCGTTCGAACGAATCGAAACAAATGCGCTCCAATTCGAAAGAAAACATTTGATCGTCATGTTGTTGATTCATGTTTTTTTTTCTAATGTTTTTTTTTTTCGTTCCCAACGAGCTCATTTTAGGATATATCTTCTACAGAGGCCTGAGATGAGCAGTAGGATTTTCTTTTTCTCGGGCATAACATAAACATTTGATAAATCATATCTATGTATATGAGTCTTAAACGTTTCAATTACTCAACCGCCGTCGCCACCGATGCAACTCACATTTGCTTAAATGTCGGTCGGGCCGTATTTTCTGGAACATTTGCATGAATAAAATACAATTTTAGGCTTAATTTCCATTTCATTTTCGTTCTCATAAAAAAAACACACACACACACACACACACATACGACATACATGCACGCGACTACCGCAGAAATGTACACACATGAAAATTGCATTGAACGGCACGACGCAATTGCGGCTGAAACAGCATCAATTTTGCATGCTATCTGTTGTTATCGCTCATTCATTTAAACATTTATTTGGGAACAGAAAAAAAAAGAAGAAAAGAACATTGGCTAGCACAATAGCCGTGTAGCGTAAGCAAGTGTTGTTGGATGGTGGTTATAGAGAGACAGAGGAACAGAGCAAGCAATGATGAGAACAACAATAGCAAACAGCCGCAAATAGTGTCAAATCAATCAAACAATCAAATCAAGTAGTTGAAAGAATTGCTCGAGTCATGTGTGTTTTATGTACGTATGAAATGGAATAATCTAGAGAGTAGAACATCAATTTGAGTTGCTTCTTCTCGTTTGGCCTTTTTCATTAGAATCATTTTACCTTCTCGCATTGTTACTCGAATCGTTTTGAATTTCAAACACTCTGTTTGCGAGCATGAAAGTCAGAAAGGTTTTTTGTCATTGTTGTTGCTTTCCAATCGAATCCAGTAACAACAACAATAGCAACGATAATGAAAATTGAAGCCAGAAAATGTAGCACTATCGAATCACTTGCTTGGCTGATTTTATTTTTAGAATAGAGAGAGAGAGAGAAAAAAAACAAACGCCTTCCTTCAACCGACATTATATTGACATTTTGGCAACAATGAAACGAAAGAGTCGCAACCAAAATAGACGATGTAAATGCAAAATTGCGCGCTCGCGCGTCTATTGTGTATTATATAGCTCTTTTCTAAAACGTAATAAACACAGCATTAGTTGTTTTTTTTTTCTGTTTCTTTTGGCCGCTGCTCTCAGCCTTATTCTGTTTACAAAACAAAAGACTGGCTTGAGTTATTCAGCAAATTAGAATTTGTTTTGTTTGTCCGGAGAGAGTGTGTGTGTGTGTGTGTGTGTGTGTGTATAAAGCTGGAATGGGGTACGTGCAAAAGGTGAAACACCGCCAAATAAATGTGACCTTGACTCTTGTTCACAATGTTCGATTCAAAGTTAGAATTTCTAGCATTGATTTACGACATTGATATATGCCGACCCAAACCATCATCTAGTTTGCCATTCAGTTCAGCGGCGGCACCGATCGAATCAAAGTTTGTTTGAGTGCACGCGCATTGATTTCATTTGACATGTATTTACGTCTTTTCGAAGCTCATTAGCCATTTGTATATATACATTATTGTAATATAACCCAGATATGAAAAAAGGAACAAAGAAAAGGATGCCGATTGAAAGATCAAAAGAGGCGAGCCACACACATACATACACATACACATGATGGGGTATCGGTGTACTCTACCTTCCTGGCTTCAATTCCGGCCGTTGGCCTTTTTCATCTCTTCTGTTTTTAGTTTGCAAACACGAGTTTTTAATAAAGCAAACGGAAACCACACTCTCCTCTCACTCATCTCTCGCTCGCCACGTTCATTCTCTGGCCATTATTAACACTATTTGCTTTTTTGCACATTTTGCGCGCGCTCAAACACTGCGCAACATTTTTTTTTATCGTTACACGTGTAAGACTTATTTTACTTAATTAGAAACTGATCGGATTTAATGTGCGCTTCGTCAAATACTCCATATTTCGATTGGGACTTTGCACACAGCAAACACAGATAGATAAACATTTGTTGTTGCGAGAAGAAAAAAAAAAAAACGTATTGTTTTTATTTGCTTCTTTCACATCTGCAAATCGCGCCGAAATTTCTCTCTTTCTCTCTCTCTCGTTTGCTATTTCGTGTAAATAAAATTAAACGAACGAACAATTTCACCGAAAATACAACAACAGGTTCAACGAACCGCGTTTTTATTTGACGAAAAAAACAGCGACAAACTGCTATTTACATTACGATTTTGTTTTGCTGCTCGTGTTTTGTTCGCCATCGTCATCGTCGTTGTACCTGTGATGTGTGTTATTGTCTCTTGTAAATGAGTTTCCGCATGCATTGAAAAAATTTCGTTTGATGACATTTTTTTTCATTCTCTCTCTCTCTCTCTCTCTCTCTCTCTCTCTCTCTCTCTCTCTCTCTCTCTGTTCGTGTACAAAACGGCACGTTTCCCCTCTTCGTGCGATGAAAACAGAAAGGCCGAAATTCGGACAGCCACCTTGTTATTCAACCGGCTTCATTCGATGGAATCGATAAGTAAGTACTTTTCTCTATGTTTTGCTTTGTTTTCATTTGTCTCTAATTCATTTGCACATTTTTTGTGCTGATGTGTGTTTGCATTTCGAACGAAACGAAAACAATATGGGCTGGATAACAGAGAATTTGCACGTTTTCGCGAAAAATGACACTTTGAATTGAATATATCGAAACGGTGCAAAAACAGAAAGATGCAATAATCAGCATGAAAAACACTTGTGTTGATGAAACTCCAAATACTAATTTGTCTTCACACATTCAACCCGCATCGCGCCATCTATGCGTGAGAATTGAAAATATTACACATAAACAACAATGAATGCGAATCAATTCAAAATAACATATGTTTTTTTTTTCTCTCGGTTTTTTTAAAGGTACAACACAAATGATAGCATTTTGTATCCAGTGGCGGCTGAATGGTATATTTTCTTTAAATACTTCAACTTGTTTCTCCTTCTTCTACTTTATTCCCTTATTTTCACTGAAAAAAATCTCGCTCTTCTTTTCAAACATCGCCATTCGTTCATTACGAACGAATGACAATGGTGTCGAGAGAGTCACGAACGCAAGCATAGGACAATGCGTCAAACAGCGTTTGACAGTTGTACTATTGTTCGTGTGTGCCTATATAATAGAGATATAGTTAGCAGTCGCGATTTCATGAAAATTTGACGGGCATTTCATGAATAAATGAATAGATTGCAACATCAATAAGAGAAACGCTTTATTTTGGCTACGATAGTTACATAAACCAACCACAAAAGTGTAAAAATTGCAATTCTACGGAATCATAGGAAAATCGCAGTTTCGATGCGACCATCAAAGTCACTCCGTTAAAAGTGTTGATAAAAACAAAGTGTACGACACACAGGGAGAAAATTATACGCGTGCTTAAGCGAAAGGAAAAGCGCGTTGGTGGTTTTTTTTATGAAGGACACACACTAGTCGTTGTTGTTGGTGTTGCGGAAGAAAAAAAAATCATTCGTTGACGTTCGCATGAAGGAATCAAAAAAAATCATTCGTTGACGTCCTTTTTTTTTGCTCCGTTTATTGGCGATGTCATATTTCATCTTGAATCAATTGCGATGCTGTCGAAGTCGCGTGAATCTTAATAAACGATATGGATCGGCTGCTGCGGCTGTGAAACCAGTGCGATATTACAGTGATGACAATGGTACCAAGGATGGCAACGATGAGCATGCAATAAATGGCTTGAAAACGCGTCGCCATGCATTGGGCCAGGCTGTGATTTTGGTGCAACAAGGTGTTGAAATCCAAGAATTACCAATCATTGTTCGACGATACGGTCAAAATGAGATTGTTGCCTTTGGCTCGAATAAACTACCGTTGGGCGTCGCTGGACTGACACATCAAGCGAACAACGAAAACACAGTGCCCACTGACCAATCCACTGCACACATATCCTCCACGCCAAATAGTACAAATGTGGTGATAAACCCTGTAACCGATTGTGATACAATCATTAAACTACTGGAGAAGTGTGAGACTGGTGAAAGTATACTGCAAATGATTGCATCATTGCCGAAACATGAATTGGAGCAGGACACATTGGTGTTTGCATTGGAGAAAATTCTCCGAATCGAACCGATGCAAATGCTGAAATCGTTTGAAGCCACCAATGAACAGTATCAACAGTTGTTGAATAGTTTTTGTCGTGTGTGTGACACAACCATTTTGCTAAATGTGCTGAAGCAGTTGCAATCGATGCTGTTTATGAATCAATCGATTGAGCAAATTTGTGATGAGATTCTGATGCGAAATGCGGACGGTTGTCTGAGCGTGATGGAAATATGCGAAGCTGTGCATCGATTTGTGGAATGTCAACGATTTACGGGTGCTGAAAAATTTTGGGCCGGACTATCCGATGCGGATAAGGATATCAATGAGAATAATATTAAGTTTGTATTTGAAATTTTACCAAAGTTAAAAGTCAGCCGTCGAATGGTCGTTGGCATTCTGGATAAGCGAATCGTGGAAGTGTTCCCATTGCTGCGACCCAATGCTGTGAATGATATCATGGAAGCGATTAAAGAGGGCCGTATTGGCTGTCACACCAACGACACACTGAAAGCAATCACTCGATGGCTAAATGTCAACATCCATGCCGTGAATGAAACACATTTGGAGCAAATTGTCCACTGTTTGACCGCCTTGAATTACACCGACTCGGATTTTGAAAGTGCCATTGAACGCTACATGAAGGCCAAGGCCATGAAAATCAAATCACAAACGCTGGTCATTGAAATTCTCAAACATGTCAACACATTTCGTCTGCTCAATTCGTACATTCTCAACGGATGCAGTGAGTTTTATATCAAAGAAGCGGCAAACATTGATCCAGGCTATCTGCGCGATATTGTCTATCCATTTGGTCGGCTACACTTTCAGCCCATGAATACGAGTAAATTTTGGGAAACCATTGAAACGTATTTGAATATCAATTTTAATAAAATCTCAACCGCACACATCGTTGACATTCTACTGGCAACCGTCTATCTCAAGTTGTTCCCGGTGAATTTCATTGATCGTGTGTTCAATCGACAGTTTATGCATTTGTTGCACAGCTCAACGTCGATGAATGAATTGCCAATGGTTCGTGAGAAGCTCAAGCTGCTGGACACCGCATTGACATTGGAATGCAGCGAATACAATGGACCACTGCTACCGCGCCAGGTTGGCGGCAATCAAGTAACCATTGACAACCGCATCAAACGCATAATCAACGATAATTCGGACATAATCCAATTGATTGCTGGTGATAAAACGTCTTACACAACATTACAAGTACCACAGCAACTTCCGTACTGCAATTTATACACAATTGACGTTCTATTTCATCCGCCCGGCTTCAGTCTAATTAACTACAACAAAATAAAAGATCGAAATGTTCTAGTCGCTGCTCTCATCCATTTGCCCGAGTACTACGATACCAGCGGCACGTACTTGATTGGCGAACAACAAATGCGCATCCGACATTTGCGTCACATCGGACTCAAAGTCGTATCACTGCAATACACCGCACTTAGCAAGCTCAGCATGCATCGCAAAGAACTCTACGAATATATTGCCGAACAAATGTCCCAAGCCCTACCAGCCATCGAACCAAATAAATAAAAAAAAAATATATACAATACTAGTACACATACACCAATTTGTTAAGTTTATCAATTCTAAATAATGACAAAAAAAATTGAAGAAAAAAAAATAAACAGCTCAAAGCAATTCACAATATTAATAGAAATATTTTTCTCTAAAATTTATTATTCTAAATATTAAATATGAAAGACACACACACACACACACACACACACACACACACACACTCCTTGCATTAATAACAAGAAAAAAAAATTGTACAAATCGGCTCATCAAATAGTCATTGACCTCCTTGCTAATTATGACAAATTTCGTCGATCGATTTGAATCAAGAAACAAAGTTGTTATCAATTCCATATATATTTTTTCAAAATAATTATTATGGATCAATAAATTATATCTTTATCAAAAACACCAAATGCCAATGACTTTTAATGAGCTTCTGGGACCCATTGCACCGTACAGCTACAATAATTGTTAACTTGTAAATTAAAGGTACCTGTTAATCTGGTTTACAAGTCTACAATTTCTTGTAAAACGCTAGTTTTCAAGCATTTGCAATGAAAAAAAGTTTTTACTTGATAAAATTCTTTTTATAAAGTCAATTCGTGAGGCAAAAGTGAAATTATTCATTTAAGTATTATGAAATAATTTAAATTGTATATAAAAAAAACAAATTTTAAGGGGTGAAAAATGCATAGAAAGTGTTGGAGATGAAATTTTTAACATTCGAAGGCGAATTTAGAGTATACACCCAACACGAGTTCGCCATGGTATCCCATGAAAGTTGCGCCTGGTCACATAGCTTTCATTGGCACATAGTGTTGGCCTCCCGGATGTTGACCCAGTTTGAAGGGCAGAAGTCAAAAAGTGAAAAAAGTACAAAAACCACCTCAAAGTGGGTAAACCTCCCTCCTCAACCCCAAATCAATTGCATTTTTAGATTTCTCGTCGAAAATTAGCTATACCTCCCGAACATCAGTTTTTAATAAAACCTCTCACTGTGGCTCAAATCATCTCGGAATGTGCAGTGGGAAAAATTGATATTTTTCTATACATTTATACGGATTTTTTGTGTTTTTTCGGTTTTTCTCCCATAACTCGTACCCAATATGCGATGGAGCTAAATTTTGTTCGGCAAAGTTTTAGATCTCGTTGAAATCTACAATTTTGTCGCAGACAGTTATCACTTATCACTTATCAGTAAGGAGATAACAGTGATAATTGATAAGAGCTATCAAGGCCATTATCTCCTTATTTATAAGAGATAAGTGATATTTGTCTGCGACAAAATTGTAGATTTTAACAAGATCTAAAATTATGCTGAACAAAGTTTTGCTCCATTGCATATTGTCTACGAGTTATGGGAGAAAAACCAAAAAAAACACAAAAAATCCGTATAAATGTATAGAAAAATATCAATTTTTCCCACTGCACATTCCGAGATGATTTGAGCCACAGTGAGAGGTTTTATTAAAAACTGATGTTCGGAAGGTATAGCTAATTTTCGACGAGGAATCCAAAAATGCAATTGATTTGGGGTTGAGGAGGGAGGTTTACCCACTTTAAGGTAGTTTTTGTACTTTTTTCACTTTTTGACCTCTGCCCTTCAAACTGGGTCAACATGGGAGGCCAACACTATGTGCCAATGAAATCTATGTGACCAGGCGCAACTTTCATGGGATACCATGGCGAACTCGTGTTGGGTGTATACTCTAAATTCGCTTTCGAATGTAATCTTAAAAATTTCATCTCCAACACTTTCTATGCATTTTTCACCCCTTAAAATTTGTTTTTTTTATATACAATTTAAATTATTTTATAATACTTAAATGAATAATTTCACTTTTGCCTCACGAATTGACTTTATAAAAAGAATTTTATCAAGTAAAAACTATTTTTCATTGCAAATGCTTGAAAACCAGATTTACAGGTACCTTTAATTTACAAGTTAACAATTATTGTAGCTGTACGGTGCAACAGGCCCCTGTTTGTTGTCGATGTTTTTGTTTTATTACATTCAGGAATACATCGATTTTGTTTATTTATTGCAGTCGAGTTATTAAGTCACCGGCTGAAATCGAGGTGCTGCGCTATGTGGCCAAGGTATCGTCTGACGCACACAAAGTTGTCATGAAAACGATTAAGTAAGTGTTGGAATTTCAATCATCCGTGGAATTCGATTCTATTCATTTTTTTATTTATCACACACATTTCATTTGTACGATTCTTCGGTTTCAATTCATTCACTAGGCCTGGAATGAAAGAATACGAATGCGAATCACACTTTTTGCATCATGCATACGCGGTTGGTGGATGTCGTCACGCTTCATATACGTGCATTTGTGGCAGTGGTAGAAATGGATCGATCCTTCACTACGGCCATGCAGCAGCGCCTAACGATAAAGTCATCAATGATGGCGAAATTGCGCTATTTGATATGGGTGCCAATTATTTTGGATATGCCGCTGACATCACATGCAGTTATCCGGTCAATGGCAAATTCACCGACGACCAACGATTTATTTACAAAGCCGTTTTGGCCGCTTGCCAAGCTGTTCATAATGCCGCAAAACCGGGCGTTAACTGGGTTGCCATGCACGATTTAGCCAATCGAGTACTTTTGACCAAATTAAAGGAAGGTGGCCTTTTGCAAGGCGAAGTCGATGACATGATGAAAGTCGGCATCAATGGCATTTTTCAACCACATGGACTGGGACATTTTCTTGGTGCGTAGATTTTTTATTTAATTTTTTTTTACCCGTAACTGTCAATTTTTCATATTACAATTTTTTTTCATCAAAACTTTCAATTTTCACAATCAAAGGTCTTGATGTGCACGATGTTGGAGGCTATTTGGAAGGACATCCAGAGCGTCCTACGCTCCAAGGATTCACTTCACTTCGTTTTGCACGCGATTTGAAAGCCGGCATGTATGTTACCATTGAGCCAGGCTGTTACTTCATCAAGCATGTAAGATGATATTATTTTCGAATAAATTGATTGATATTTGGTGTTAGACAATTTCTTTGGAAAATTAACCAAAAATGAATTTCTTTAATTAATTTGCATTTGTTTTCGAAATCTTTGCAGCTGCTTGACGAAGCATTCAAAAATCCAGAGAAGAGTAAATTTTTGGTTGCGGACAAAATTAAGCGTTTCGAAAACTTTGGCGGTGTTCGTATCGAAGATGATGTCCTCATCACGGAGACAGGCTGTGAAAACTTTGCTATTGTTCCTAGAACGTGAGTTATCATTGAACATTTGTTCATCGAATTAAAGAACAACCCTAACGAAGAACTTACTCAATAATAAATGAATATTTCGATTTCGATCTTTTCAGAGTTGAAGAAATTGAGGCATGGATGACTTCTTAGACGGATAACATGAAATTCTTTCAATTTGCCAAATCAATGCTCTTTTAAAAACAGCGTATTGAATTGTTCGCCGAAAAAAACACGTTGCATTTTGTTTCGCACTTTTTTCCCACTGCTTGCAAATAGAGAAATTGTGAATGAAAAATTAAATTTTATACGTACTTTCAAAGCATTTATTGCTAATATCATCAAATTGTCAAATTTTATATTGAAATAAATTTATTTGAATCAGAATAGTAAAGTGTGTTGACCCGAATTAAATTTGGGTTGGACCCCGCAAAGAATGACGTCACTCAATCGAGTGAAGTGACTTTGTCCAATACAAATCACTCATTTTAAAGAAATGCAATAATGTTTCAATAAATGAGCATTTTTTTCTACTAAGCCATACTCTTTGATACGATTTGAATTTTTAGGTGAATCAATTGTTTCAACGACTCAGCTGAGAAAGTTTAGTTCTCGGTTAAGGAAACGAACGTAGGGAAATTCCTTGATTTTGAAAACGGCAAACTTTATCAGCATGGTGTATAAACTTAGTTTTACGTAAGCAATAGTTTGGATAATGAAAATGAACGTTATTCAAGTAAACTCCGCTGAAAGTTACATTTTCTGAAGAGATAAGGTGGCCGGAACTTTATTCATCAAGCGATCGTTAAGTATGGATTAAAAAAAGAAAGCCATACTAAATGAACATTTGAAAGGATTTATAACAATAAATCAAACATTCGAATGGATTGAGACCGACTTTAGTCCGCATCGAAAAGTGCATACGTTAGACATTTCGTATTCAAACTACCAGACATTGAATCATTTACATTTAAACTTTGAACATTTGAAACGGTTAAATATATCTTACAATGATTTAGAGGATTTGCAAGAATATTTTTTTCATAACACAAGACACCTAACGGAAGTGGACTTTTCACACAACAAAATCAATAAACTTTAAAAACTGAGATTCGAATTCGACCCCATGCCAATATCGACTGTGAATCAACACTATTACAACTTCACTCTGGCTAATCGTAATCGTAAAACTTAATCTTAAGACGTAATTTACATTTCGCGAGTCAATGCTCAATTTGCACTGCTAATTTTTAAACTTTGTCTTTTCAGTGTTAGGGAAGTTAGGGCATTGCTTCTTAGGTGGCCAACTCAAAACCTTTACAACTTACCAAATTCACGCCACATACAGGCTTGCCACTCAATTTTGAAAAAAAAAAAAAAATAGCTGAAAAAGCTGAAATTTTGACTCAAATAGCTACAAAAATAGCTAACCAATAAAACGCCAAAATATCAATGCAAACTAGTTCGTTGACCTTTTGTTTGCTGTTTTCTTATGTTATTTGGCAAATTTACGCAATGATGAATCATGTCTACAGTTTTTGTTTTGTTTTTTTTATGAATGATAAGAAACAATCTCACTTTAATGATTTCATCGTTAATAATCCTTTATGTCTTTTAACATAAGCAATTCATGCATCAGTTTCCATATGCTGCGTTAGTGCACTATACCCTTTATTTTTAACATTAACTGTGGCTGATTACACCGAAATACTTCGAATTTGCTGTGATGGACAAAAAAAAATTTAAGCTGAACATTTTTGTCATCGAACCACCCGTTGGATAAGCTAAAAGTGTTCGAATGTTTTCGGAGATCTTTGAATCTATCAAAATAATAGATTAGAAATTTTGCACGATCTTTACCAACCTTTCTAAAATCTCTATAGTCCTTCGCACTACTTTTATAGGCATGGATAACGTCTGGTATCAAACTGAACTGATCGAGCCGGTCTGGACAGAATTTTCTTATTTTTGAACTCATTCCTGAAAGACAACTAAACTCAATCATATGAAATTTCGCGTAGAATACTGATTTTTATTCGAATCGTTATATGCATTGATTTTTGACAGTTTCAAAGAAATTCAGAAATCTTCGCTATGTTAGTGAACAAGTCATTCTATAGCGGGCTATTATTATCTGTTTGTAAGATGAATCAAACGCATTCATCGGTATAGTCAGAAACTGTTTTTTCTTTCATTTCCAAGTTATTTTGATTATTCATGTTGGTTACTTTGCGTTCTAGCACCCCTATTTCTTTCAATTTCCATCAAAAAATTGAATAGCTGAGAAAAGCTGATTTTCGACGAAAAAGCCGACCATAACTACGATTTTTAAAACAGCTGAAAATAGCTGAAACAGCCTACCAGTGGCAAGCTTGCACATAACATAGATAATTGCGATAAACGCAACTTTTTATATTTTTAAGTAGCATATAACATAACAATCGAATAATCCAAATTGTGCGTGAGATTTTAATGCAAGAAACACATCATTCAATTGTCAATTTTTTTTACTTAAAATAATGTTCGTTCCTAAATCAGAATGGTAAATTGTATTAAATAAAATTTAGATATTTTTTGACTTTAGATTGGGTTCATCTTTGGTGTGCTTGCACGCAAAAATAAAGTGATTTGTTTCAGCTTCTCTTTTGCATCATTGATTACATCGTCATGATTGTACTCCTAAAATGACAGAAAAATCATCAAAATTGATAAACAATTCAATTCAATTGGAAAAAACAACAACAAAAAATTATAAAAATGAAAAGGGAACTATCATATACCTTCTGTAGTTGGTCCAATACAGTGGTTGATTCTTTAGTTTCTTCAATTAAATCGGACAACCTGTCTTCAAGATGCGAGATTTGGCGATAGTTTTCATTAGACTTTAACTGTTCCTTGATTTCCTCATTACGCTGTTGTGCCTCTTGCATAACGCTTTCGGTGACGCGTTTTTTATGCTTTAGATCCTCCAATTGAGATGACACTTGATCGTACTTTTCAGCTGATTCAGCACGTAATGCCTGAACAATTTAAATTGGTTTAAATCAAATATCGATCGACGAATTTGATTTCATATGTTTAGTAAAGAATTTCATAAAAATGAACTTACATTCAAGTTCGAGTACTTTTCGATCTCTCGCTGCAATTCAAGTTCGTCTCTTGTGGCGGTTTCGATTTGGTCGGCGGTGCGCTTTTTGAGTATTTGAAGTTGTTTCAAAATAACAAGTAATCGCTTATATTCCTTGACCATTCCATGCTCTGACGTCAAATCGTTGCCATCGTCAACGGCCGCTTTCGACAGGCCCAATGTTTTCAGATTCACACCGTTCATTGTGACTTGCTCAATGGCCGATGTTATTTGACTTTTGATCAATTCAATTTCTTGGAAAGAAGAAGAAATATGAAGGTAATTTTTTATGTTCATTCGAAGCATCTCTTTTTTTTTTCATCTACTCTTCAAATACTCACTATTCGTTTCGGCTTGTAAATTCTCCTTAAAACCATCCATAAACTTTGACATGGTTTCATCACGATGCTTAAGCTCTTTATACTTGGCATATCGTTCTGAGTTGCCTTCATCAAGATCGTCTTCGATTTGTCGCAGTAATTCGCGTTTTTCATTCAACGCATCCTCGGCCAATTTTATTTGATGTTGAATGCTAGTTAACGCTTGCTTATTTTCCCGTACTTCACTGATGAGTTTCTCACGCTCTTGAGCCGGTGTCAATCGATTCTGTTCCTCTTCTTTTGATGTCATCAATTTCTTTTCTAATTCATTGAGTTTCAACAGCAGACGCACAGCTTCCGTTCGTTCGGCTGAACTCTTGGCAATTGTTTCAAGATTCGTCTTTTTATTGATCATTCCATTGATTTCTTCGTGCATTTGGCTATTTTGTTCATCCAATTTTTGCGCCAGCTCATCGAATTTGCGATACTCCTCCTGATCGGCTTCGTTCATTGACTGAATCACCTTATTGATTTTATTGCGCTCCAATTCAATCTCTTTTTCAAGCTTCTCATTGACGGCTTCTTTGGATTGCTTCTCACTAAACGCCTTCTCCAGCTGCTGCTGCAACACTTCATTCCGTTCACGCAAAACGGCCGTCTCTTGGTTCATTTGCTGACGTGTAATGTTACTGTTCGCCGAATCAAGCGCTATATTCATATCAGATAGTTTCGCTTGAAGAACTGAAATGAAGAGAAAAAACAATGTTTCGACATAAATTCTGGAAATCAACTGAATTTTTGTAGCCTTTCTTCTGCAATCAACACTTTTTTGATTTTTTTTTATTAAAATCATCTCTTGTTTACAAAAAAAATTAAATCAGACTTCCTATAATGCTCTTCTTTTCTCCAAAAATGCAAAATTCATGACATTTACCAGTCAACTCTCGTGTGGATTCTTTAGCTCGCCTGTCAAATGTTTTCTTGGCCGATTTCTCTCGATCCATGTTCTGCTTCTCTCTGATCAATCGTTCCGTTTCACGTCGAATTTCATCCATTTTCATCTGCAGCTGAGACTGCCAATAGCGCGCATCTTTGATTTGGCGCGTACCAGTCGATGTACCAATTCGACCAATCCCACTGAGGCCATGCTGTGTCAAAACTCGAGCAGAGACTTTTCTCTGTAGACAAGACGGAAATAAATTGGATTTTCTTATTTTTAATTGAAAAAATCGAAAGAGAATGAACAAAATTCGAATATTTTCAATGAATGAAATGATCGAAATCAAGAATATTCAACAAAAATGGTCAAAATCACAATTATTTTTTTGAAAGTGTCAGGAGAAACTCGTTTGAGATATTGAAAACAAAAACTGTGTAAAAATTGCGAAAATGGTCACAATGCACGCGGTTTAATAAAAAGGTTCATGATAATGACAAAAAAAAAACTTACACTATCAGCAAAACCGATGGCAGTGCCAATACGTTGACTTGATACGGCTGGATTGTGATGCATTGCACTTGTTAGACGTGATGCTGTTCCACCTGCAATAGCTGACGGTGGTCGAGTTGACGTGGCCCTAGCCGATCCAAGATTTCTACAAGAAACGTTTTGATTTTTCAATTTGACTGTCTATTTAAATGAAGGTAATTACATGTCAATTCATCTAAATGAATCGAATGGAATCAAATGGAAATTAATCGATAAAACTATCGAAGAAAAATAACGAAGAAAAGAAGTTTTGTTCCAGAGAATTATATCACCTCGATGATGTTTCCGGTCGACTAAATGTACTGGAGCCTGGTCGTCGAACAATATCACCGCGACGTGACACAGGCCGATTCTGTTGATTATTATCCATGTTGATAATTTCGATGGTCTAATTCAAAGCCGACCAAAAATAAAGAATTATTCTTATCGTGTATTCCAACTGTTGTTTTCTCTTTAGTTTAAATCAATAAACGTGCACGGCCTTGAAACAATTCCCGTTTTAAATTAATAATTCGATTAAATTGATTGCAAGTTTAGTTTGAAACAAAATATTATGTGCAGCCGCATTCGATTCCCACTGATTTTCGACTAAACAATGTCCCATTTGTATTTTGTTTACCGATGCCATCGATTGCTTAGTAACGACGAATTCCTTAGTTCGGTGTTGAATCGGAAGATGGCGCCGAGTACGTGACTCGCTTCATGTGGACTACATCATAATATCAATGAGGTTGAATTATCGACTGCGGTTTAATTATAACAACTAATATGTTTGAATTCAAAAAACGGGAATCAGATCATTTGAACATTTTGTATGTATATTTAGCATGGACTTCAAATTAGAAATAGCCACTGAATTTGGATTTTATTGCACGCATGCACAAATGTTTCGTACACAAAGCATGTGACATATCGATACCCATTGAACGTACAACTACGTACACAATGCTTAGCAATGCTATCCAATGTACCTATTCCGAAGTCGCAATTTATTTTTGCCACTAACAGCACAGTGTCTTGAACACACTATGTTACAATGTGCTCGCTTTGGCCGACCGCATGTTGTATTTACTCCAGTTATTCTATCGCTGTTTCATTTTTCATTTTGTCTCAGTCTATGTATAAGGGTCCGTGGCGCAACGGATAACGCGCCTGACTACGGATCAGGAGATTGCAGGTTCGAATCCTGCCGGACTCGATCATCTTTTTTTTTTATTTTTTTTTCGATTGGTTTTCTTTATTCAAATAGCAAAATATCTGTGATTTCGAATAATAAGTGGCAAAAATTATTTTTTCTTCTAACTTCAAATGTGTTTCAATGTTGAAGCGATAGAAAATTTGTTTTTGTGGTTGAATTTTTGAATTCAAATCGATCGATTCAATCTTAGCTGCAATTTTCATCAATCCAATGAAAAATGAAAGAAAAGAGAAGAAAAACAATTTAAACACCTAGGCAGATTTAAATTTTAGAGTTTTTTTTTTAAATTCAAAATGACCAAACTACTAGAAATAACTTTTTATAATTTAACTTGCTTGACAACAATACTTTTCTTAGTTCAATTTATCAAAATAGTGTAATTATTCGTTTTTATCAGTATTTTTTACGCAATGTGTGTCTCCGCTGTCTAATTAATGCCTTTTACTTTTCCGTACACAACGTGTCAAAGGGAAAGTATAGCAATTGGTCCCGAAAACTTTTTTTTCGCAAAATTAGCTTAGATCATCATAAAAACTCATGAAACGCGTAGAAAACCACTTTTTGAGACAATTTTCCGTTCGTGTGCCGTCGTTGTCGTCGTTGTCGTAGCTGTTTGTTAACACGATAACTCAAAAAATAATTGAGATAATCAGAATCTGAAAGTCCCAAAAATTTTGTACCCAATAAACTTAGTTTAAGTTCGAAGATGAGCCATTTTCGATTTGATCCTGGGGTACTTGCCCTAAGAAAAACCTCAAAAAATTGACACTTTTGTATGAGAGGTACGCGTAAATCGACTCCGATTGGCTTCAAACTTTCTGGGATTTCATTTTTTGAGAAAAATAGGATTCTGAAAGTTTGAAACCAATCGGAATTGATTTACGGGTACCTCCCATACAAATTTTTTGAAATTTTAACTAAAATACCGTTTTTTGGACAATTTTGTATGAGAGGTACCCGTAAACCGATTCTTATTGGCTTCAAACTTTCTGAGGTTTCATTTTCTGGAGAAAAAATAAGATTCTGAAAGTTTCATGTTGATCGCATTTGCAGAAGTTTGATTTTTTGTCCTAAATTTTTGTCGAAATTTTCTTGGAAAAAATTGAGGGCCAAAAACCAAACTTCTGCACATGCAATCAACAATCAGAATCCTATTTTTTCTTCAAAAAATTAAACCTCAGAAAGTTTAAAGCCAATGAGAATCGGTTTACGGGTACCACTCATACAAATTTGTCGAAGTTTTAGTTAAAGTGACCGATTTTTCACTTTATTTTTATTATTATATTTTCACTGCCTTTATTTCAAGAAAATTCACAAAAAATAACCAAAAGTACATACGAACAACGCAGGCCAACGGTACGGAAAAGTTCGGGATTACCAATGTAATTCTTTTTATTTATTCATTAATTTTAGGTTTCGAATTTTGTTTGAACTAATTCATTTATTATTTACGCTCAATGAGTCTTCAACATAGATGGTAGAAAAATGTATGTGGTTCGATGTATAGAAAACCTTATTGTGTAGATGAACGTATGCTATAGCGATGGCTTGATATTCAATTTTTGCTGTTAAGACAACTCCAATTATAATCATTATCCCATGGGCACGATGCAAATCGTTTCATTTCAATCATCTGTAAGTTTGTGTTTCCGTTTCCAATCTTCCATTTACTGTAAAGGAATACTGAATCTGGAACGTAGATTGTGACTTTGTGAGCTCCAAGCAATTTTATGCGCTCCTTGTTCAACGTGATCAATTTCAAATTTTTGGTTTTGGCATGTGGGCCCAATTTGAGCATTTTCAGTTCTGGTAATCCTTGAATGCAAGACAAAACCGTTTCAAACCTTGCATATTCAATGTATAATCGCTCGAGGTTGACAAACTTTTTTGCAATCAAGTTCGTTTTTAATCGACCGGAACCCCATTCTATTTCCAGCGCATTCAAATTAGGCAAATCGGGTAAACTGGATAAATCAGGTATTTCAAAACCAGCACAAATTCGCAGTTGTTTGAGGCCACGAAGTAAAGGTAAACAGACTTGGAGTTTATCGAAAAACATTTCTGTGTAGTTCTGTGTTATCACAAATATACCCAGGCGCTTGTAAACTTTTTGCTCATGCAGTTGATTCAATAACTCAAAGAATGGTATATTTACATAATCTTCATTGTTAATATATACTTTGAAAACATCCAGTTGCACTTTTAAATTGATGATTTCATTTTGGTGGGACAGAATTTCTTCTGCAAGTGTATTGAAAACTTTAATGCTGGGATTGTTCTGGAAGAAAATGTCCAAATCGTGTATTGAGGGAATCATCGATAGCCAAAAATGAGTGAGTTTTGGGTATTTCTGGCGTATCCATGAATCCGAATCTGTTATTTCTTCATCTTCATCGAATTCGTAAGGTATTTTATCTAATTGAAGACGCTTCAGATTCGTGCAGAATTTCAATATCGCATCATATAAGTTCACTCTAACCATAGTTCCTGCTATTTTCAGCGATTCGAGTTTTGAAAAATAACTTTTAATTACGTCTACCGTCATTGTATCAACTTGTACCATATCCAAAGTCAATTTGTTGATGGATTTGAATTCGTTGGGGTGCAACGCAACATAGAGCAGAGCTTCGGGACTATATATGGAATTGCGATTAAATCCTTCTAAAGTGAGTTTTGAAACAAATTGATTGAATGTTAAATCACCATTAAACCTATCTAACTTGAGTCTATATCCCTTTATACGCAATTCACTATCGGAATAATTGCGCTTGAAGAATTCACCGGTCACTTTATGGATTGTCTTGCATGTTAGAGCGAAAGAGTTCAGGTCTCTCAGTGACAAATACTCGAATATCTCATCAAAGCAGTCCACGTCCAATTTGAATATTTTCGGCGGTGGCTGTTCATTCGATGGGCCAGCGATTGACAATTGATTTGGACCTTGTTCCATTTCGTGTGATAATTTTTGCCGCTTCGGTGCACCGGCTTCTGTTTCCTTTTCGCTCATTTTGAGGAATGGTAGCACACACCAAATACCAAAGTAGTTTCACTGCGAAAGTAGTTACAAATCAATTTCACTTCTAAATCTTTCGATAAAGCGTTGAAACAGATAATGTCTTACCAAGATTCAATGGCCAATCAAATGATGAATAAGGTCAAGCCAAAGAACAAATCGAAATATGAACAACAAACGACAATGTGTACATGTACTTAGCGTTTTTTGGAATTTGTAAACAGCGTGACATTTGTTTCCATTCAACTTGAAGTTGGCTTTGTTTGAAACGTCACAACCAACTTTGAATTCAACTTGAATAAGTTTTGGTTTTAAATTTAAAAAATGTTGTAAAATATCGATCACATCTTGATATGTTCGTTTTCAGATGTTTTTATTCATTTTTTTCTCGAACATAAAAATCTCTCTGTTTACATATTCGAAAAACAATTTGATTAGATTTTGTTTTGGCTATTTATGGACTATTGAAAATATCATGTTGTCATTTATCCATTTTTCTGATAGTTTTTTTCTTATTTAGAGAGCAGAAGGTCTTTGCTTCGTTGATATATACCAAAAATGATTTTATTTACATCAAAAATGTTATTTTGTTGAATTCAAATTTAACTTCAGTTTTCATCAATGCAATGAAAAATGAAAGATAAGTGAAGAACAGAATTTAAACACCTAGGCAGATTTCAACGGTAGAATTTTTTTTATTCAAAATATATTTAATTTGCTTGACAACAATACTTTTCTTAGTTCAATTTATCAAAATAGTGTAATTATTCGTTTCTATTGGCATTTTTCACGCAATGTGTGTCTCCACTGTCTGATGAATGAATTTATGTGCATAAACTTTAGTTTAAAACTATTTTTTTCTGTTGTTTGGTTACGCTCAATGAGTTTTCAACATAAATGGTAGAAAAATGTAAATGGTTATGCGTTGGTATGGAAAAACTTGAATGCTGTGATTATTTTCGAAGAAAATATTCAAATCACCTATTGATGGAATTGGTGTGAGCTCGAAATGGGTGAGTTTTGGGTATTTCTGGCGTATCCATAAATATTGATGAGGCTCAGTTTCGTAACGTTAAAGATGCAATTGAAGATACTTCAGATTCGTGCAGAATTTCAACATTGCCGCGTACAAGTTTTCCTTGACCACAACGTCCGATATTTCAAGTGATTCAAGCTTTGAGAAATGACTTTTGACTGAGTCCACCGTCATTTTATCAATTTGTATCGAAAGAATTTTAAGTTTGTTGATGGCTTTGAATTCGTTGGGGTGCAAGGCAAAATAGAGCAGAGCTCCAGCATCTTGCCTTGCGAAAGTGATTTGTAGAACAAATTGATCGAATGTCACCCTATAGCGGGTTCATATGCGTTCATACGTACTTCGCTTGCGGAATAATTGCGCTTGAAGAATTCTCCGGCCACTTTGTACATTGTCTTGCATGTTAAAGCGAAGGAGTTCAGGTCTTCCAGTGAAAAGTACTCGAACAGTTCATCAAAGAAATCCACGTCCAATTTGAATATTTTCGGTAGTGGACCAGCCATCGCCAACTGATTTTGACCTTGTTCCATTTCGTGTGATAATTTTTGCCGCTTCGGTGCACCAGCTTCTGTCTCTTTTTCGCTCATTTTGGAGAACGGGAACACACGCCAAATACCAAAGTAGTTTTACTGCCGAAATAGTTACAAATCAATTTCATTTCTAAATCTTTCGATAAAGCGTTGAAACAGATAATGTCTTACCAACACTCGATGGCCAATCAAATGATGAATAATGTAAAACCAAAGATAAGTCCAATCGTTGAACAAACCGACAGCATGCAGCGTTCATGTACGTACGTGTTTTTGGAATTTGTGAACAACGGACTTTACACTTGTTGTCATTTAAATTGAAGTTGGTTTTATTTGATACGTCACACCTTAATTTGAATGCAAATATCATTCGATCATTTTCCGTCATTAAATCGAAATCGAAACAATAGCGGAAACTTGTTCAATTTTCGTTATTTCCTTTATGTTTGAATGTTCAGTATGATCATTTCAACTCTTCAAAAGGCATAAATGCATTAGCGAATAGATAAGACAACCTTTTTTCGAACGAAACAACAAAATCTGAAAGCGATTTGATTTCTGACGAGAAATTCGTTATAAAGTTGATAATTTTTCTTGAATTTATGGTGATTTCTATACGTAAAAAATTAATCAAAAAGATAAAAAAAAATCGGCTATATATTTTAGTCGCTGAAACCTTTGGCAGAATTAAATGAACTTTCAATGAGAATGAGAATTTTCAGATTGTTGGTGAAAATATGATTTTTATATAGAAATTTTGCGTTGAGATTCTCTGATCTAGATAAACATTCACTGTTTCTTAATACTTACCGAACCAGAAGAGGGGGAAAAAAATTGAACAGAGTAAAGAAAATAAATGACGATAGCCCATGAAAAAGAGTAGCAATGCTCTTGTGTCGGTACACTTTAATCTTCAATGTGTAATAAAATTATAAATTCGGCACTAAACAAAGAAGCCCATTGTTTACCTCTCAATTTAACTGCATCGGATATTCGGAGCTATGTGTGGCGTTGCATATGCCCACGTTTGTGTGTTCGTCGTGTTGTAAGGTATTTTTTTCTTTGACCATGTACCAATTTAGTTAAAAATAAATTGTTCACGATTTTATGTTTATGAAAATAAAAAGTTATTCACTTCGATGTGTTTTTTTTTTCTCTCGGGACATTCTTCAATTTTCAATCTATTGGTCAAGAAAAGTTTCTTAGTGACTGATGCACAGCGCAACTGTTTGAATTTTTCATGATTTCAAGTCGATATATTTGTGTCGTAAAAGAAAACTTTCACTCCTGAAATAGAGAATGATTAAAAAAAAAAAAAAAAATTCAACCTCTGAACATGACACTAGCTGACAATCAACTAAATATCGAATTAAATAACAAATAAACGTAACTTGATAAGAAACATTTCTACACTTGACATTGCAAAGATTCTCTTTAAAGAAGTGTGTTTTTAGCTTGCTTAGTAAGTGAGTCGTTCTCTTTATTTCTAATTTACTTTAAATTATTTAAATCCAAACTGAAATTAAATCGAGTTGACCGCACATACAAAGACAATTGATTCATATCCAATGGAATATGATGAAGTAAATATTTGTCATCAAGTTACCGATGATGTTTCAATCATTATTTATTTAATATTCGAACTTTGTGAAACCAAATGAATTGTTACATTGTATATTCTTTTGACTAAGCAAAATCCACGCTCTGTGCATATGCAAATTCAAGGTCTAGAATCATATTTATTTATTGACTGTAACCGATTCCAATAATTCACATGCGGTTTTCGATCATATAAACTTGTGCAAATTCCTTTTTGGCTTGAGTCAATAGCAATCTAATGACTTTTTAGTCACATTTTTGGAGTAATTTACAGTAGAGTTTACTCATTCGACATACGATAGGTATATGTTGCGAATGAAATGGAGAAAAAAATGGACCTTTTGAGATAAACAATGAATATTTCAAACGATTTTCAAACTTTGTTCACATAATTTTGAATTGAAGATTTACTGAATTCAGGCTCGTATTTATGGAAGTGTTGAACAATATGATCGTAGCGTTGATTATAAATTATTGGAATTTTTTTTGGAATGATGTGAGATTTTGTACAGAAGAATGCAAACCGTGAAATGAATATTTTCTCTAACAAATGAATTTTCCAAATTTGAAATAAATTTTAAACAGATCATGAACAGTTCAATCAACTAATGATATTTTGTTTTTGTTAAATAAAAAGAATTGTATTTTTCATGAAATTTAGCTTCACTTGAGTTCACTTCATTTTCTTTTCATTTTATTGTTCTCAATAGAAAATAAGAGTTAAAAGAAGTAAAGAAGAACTTAACCAGAATGGACTTGAATAAATAAACTGTGTTTACCACTTATTTTCTCATTTCCATATTTTTCCAAAAAAAAAAATATCTTCTCGTCGAATTTGGCAACTAAAACTATGTATCGTTTAAATGTAAGTAAAAAGTGAATAAAAAATCCGGTAAAACACCAAAAGTGACTTTTCAATTACTTTGTGCGTCCATTAAAGATCGGGAGAGAGCCATTGCGGTTTCGCACTAACACACAGGTGAAACGATCGCATAAGTGAAGAGTGACACGGTGGAAAAGTAGGCGGAGCTTGATTACGCTGAAGGTTTGGTTTGATATTTACATGGAATACTTTTCATGTGTCAATCGATCACATACGAATGTGTTGATTAATATGTGTTTTGAAAGTTGACCAATTGAACAATGTCGAAAAAGGTCAATTGCCATTGACATTTTTGGCTGTAGACCATTTAATGATGGCAGAAACTGAATTTAAAAAAGACACCAACCACCAAAAAGAGAAATTTCAACCGAGAAACTTCAAGTTCATAACATCCCTTGTGGCGTCATTCGGTTATGCAAAAATAGAAGAAGTGAAAAAAACAAAACCGATCATCCGGTCATAAAATGTCTATTGTAGTGCCATCATCCGAAGCTGAAAAAACTGGACTAGAAAATGGGTAACATCCGTTCCGCTATAGATTGCACGCATTGCATAATGAACGGTGATGAGTATGTTTTTGTCTCTGTGCAATAAAATCGAGACGCACTTTAATTCCGACTGCCATAAATTTTACACCGAAAAGAAAAACACACACGGTGCGAGAGAAGGAACAATGTTAGAAAAACAAAATGCAACTGGATTTCGTCTGCGTTGAGCCGGTGCAGTATTCCCGTTTACATCCGAATCTTTTTCACCTCACCAGGTCAGGTTGAAACAGTCAAATGAACCGTTTTCATTTTATGGAATGGGTAAATAGAATACCTGCCGATGCATTTTTTTTTTATGGTCATAGCAAAGAAAGTAACAGCAAAGTGAACGGGTTGGTAGACGACGCAACGGATGTAGGTTCTCTTGCCTCTTCTTCTCTCAAATACGAAGGATTTCTATGCTCGTCTCGTGTATGTGTTTTCAATGAAAATAAGCGTAAAACAAATGAAATCTATTGACTTTTTGGAGTTTTGTTGGGCCTAGTATACGACTAGTGTATGTTCCTGTCTTGTTGGCGTTGTTTATCTTTTGTGTATGGGCAAACTATTCTCTTGTGTTCTCTTCAAGCTTGTGAATATCAAGTCAGTTAATACATCAGTCAAGTTGTTCGTTTGCCTGTGTATATTTCGTCTTTCGTTGTGTTGAGTGGTTGTGGGCGTGTACAGGTGTTATGATCGCATAAACAGTTCTGCCCATTGGTTTCGAAGAGATAACTCATGTCTATACATAAACAAGTGGTCGTAATTTCTTTCATTCCCCAAATCCGTCACACATACACGTACATCAGAGTGTTTCGATCCATCGGCCGAATCATTTACCAAATCAACATTCTCAACAGTATTGAAGTAGAGAGTGAGAGCGAGAGCGAGATAGAAAAGGATCGCACACACATTGCGATCGCTCACACCATATTCGAAAATAGAAACGGTAATAAACGTTTTGGTACGGGCGGCGGTATTGTTTTATCAGTTGGTCGATGAATCACACGGCACATATCATACGAAACCGGAGCGTATTGTGAAACAGTTCTGTTCGTTAGCTTGACTAGACTTGACTTCCTCCTCACAATCGAGAGTGAGTGAGCGCATTGTGCGTATACAACACAAAAAAAAAATTTAATCGCATCGGGGCAAATTATTTCCCAAACCGATAGAGATAGAGAGAGTGAGCTGGAAAAAAAAAGAAGTTGTTTAGTGCGCGTATTAAGAAGCATCTAATAATTACTTGAATTAACAAATAGTTGGCAAAAGAGAGCCTCAACCGAGTTATAGTGGGTGAACAGAGCCGAAGAAGAAGAAAAAAAAACGCGAGAGAAAAAAGAGCAAGCACGAAGAAGTGAAGAAGTAACACCAAACGCGCGCGACATTATTCATTATTTGGGGATTTATTAATAAGTTTATGGGAAAAAAGTCTAGTTGTTTTTATTGCCATTGTAATCGGCTGTATTTAGCAGCAGAGCACTAAAGATTCTTCTGGCCGACGACGATATCGAACACCTGTTCAAACGAGACGCGAGCGAAAAAAGTAGGATTTGTTTCTGCGACTGGACTTCTTAATTAGAGGTCGTGGATTTGATAAAGAGTGCGGCGAACAGCCAAAGTCAACGAGAAAAAGTTTAACAGAGTGACCACCAACAATCACATTTGCCACACTGTGCAAATTGGTCAAGACAAGATCCGATCTGCGAGGAGCAGCAGCAACGGCCGCGCACACGAAGTGCGCACAGTGACATTTTTCACACGATACAAAAATATATCACGCGTGCATTCGACACACAACCCATTGATGTGATTATTATGTGGATAAATAATAGTTTAGTGAAATGAACTACGAAAGAGCAAAAAAGAAAAAAAAATTACACGCTGACCATTTAAAATATTTGACAAATGTGTACTAATTAATTAGTTTGTGTTTAAGGGAAATATTGATTCTTTCTAAACATATTCACATTGGCATCGTATCAAAACACAGAGAGAAAAAGCACACATTTTTGGTTCCAGAATTAACAGTTGAACGAAAAAAAACGAAAAAAAAAACAGACAGTAAAAGTGTTAAAAGCCATAAAGCACGTGAAATTAGGGTTGAAATTTGACATAATCACTACGTACTTTCTTCGGTGGCTCACGCTTTTGTTCTACTTATCGAATTTATTGACTAAACTACCGAAGACTTATTGCCGTTGTAAAATCAAGCTGCTAGTTGTTCTGCCTTCAATCGACACCAATTGCGGAACGTCAAGAACAATCGCACATCGATAACTCTGCACATAGTTGAGCGCGAATTGCTTGCCTGTCATTCGATTAATTATCCAACGACTGAAAGCGAAGCGACGATAATTCCGTATTTTTACCGGAGATACGGAAAACAAAAGGCCATCATTTGCACGGATTCGATTAGCAGTACATCTTAAACAAGCCATTGCTAATGTGCAACATTTGATACCTTTTCGCCTGTTATTATTTTGTTGGGTGCATTTAGTGGAAAATTAAATTTCGAAAATCCAAAACTGACTTACCGGCCGTGCGGAATAAATGAAAAACATTTCGCTGATCTGAAAGAGAGCCAATATTGTTTTGGAGCGTGTGTTTTTTTTTTCTCTCTCTTCATTCTTTCGCACCGAGAGCATTTAGCAAATTAACAAATCGGTAAGTGTGACAAAGCAATCATTTCCCATCTCATTATTATAGCATAAACAAGCTGCATCATCCCATCAGATTCGTGTTTGTTTGTTTGTTTTTTTCTTGCTTTGAGTGAACTATTTGGGTTGAGATGTACCATTTTTTTTGTTTCTTTTGTGGGTCATATCAATCCGTCTCTCGATTTGAGAGACTATCCAACGGTATCAGCCATAAGCAAGCAATTTTTTTTTTCTTCGGTTTTTATTTATTCAATGGAATTTCATGAATTTGATGCTGTTTGCAGAAAAAAAAATACGCGTTTTTAGTTGTTGTTTTTTTTTTCTCTCGTTGATTCCATGCCATAAAACTTTATGATAGATAGTATACCGGCTGATACCGCGCATTTCCAGAGCGGCAACTATGCATAATCATGTGAAAAACTCTCTAGCTCACCATCATCAATCTAATTCAGCCGACAAAATTCTTTCGCAGACTGTGCAAATTATAAATAAAATGAGATACTCATGGATTTTGAATTTCCGCGATAAAATTTCAGACAACTATCAATTGAGCCGAAATGATGTGCGTGGGGGTGTGAAGAAAATATGGATCAAAGAATCTCAGTTCGGGTTAAAACATTAAGCTTGTGAATAGAGTGTTGTGAAGAGTTCATCAATGAGGCTTCATTTCGCACTGATCAAATACACTTTAGTCGTGTTGATGCTTTCTGTCGTTGTTGTTGTCAATTACAAAAATGAATGTGTCTCTTTATCAAAGTGACGGTCTTTTTTCTCCACTCTGTCCCACCTTTTGTTGTCGGTCTTAGCTACTGGTTTTATTTTGTTCACTGTTTATTGTCGGTGTGATTTCTTTCCGATATGGTTTTCGTCTTTATTTCCATATATTTGGTGTGTGTTTATTGCTTTGCAATAAAATTTACATAAAAAATTAAAAGGTTGATATTTTTGATGGTGCCGCTGCTGATGCTGTTCAATGCGATTTGAATTGTGCTTTGATTCTTTCCTGCTGCAATGGCACATGACTATATCTTCGGATTGTATAATTTAAAGCTTGATTGAACCGACTCGATATTCAATCGTTCGTTGTCCGAATGTGACGAAATCCATAAATTAGTGCACCGACTCTCATCCACTTCATTCCCAACGTAACTTATTCAAATGCGGCATTTGCGAGCGAAAATTTCACAATCATTCTGAAAAATGATTGCGTTGTCGTCGTTGTCGACGACCAAGAGTTTGTCCAAACTCAAAAATCATTTCAATGTCGACTCGTCGATTTTCTTCGAAATGACTCGTTTCCATTTTTTTTTTATTTGTAATTGGTGGCCATTTCAGAATAAATTACGGCTTGACTTTGCCTTTTTTGTGTGTACTATTTATATTGTAAAACAAACAGTCGTGTCCATTTTATTAAAAAAAAAAAATCCAGAAAGGTGTTTTTTCCTTCAGCGGCATCGCTCACTCGTTGGATTTTTTCTTCTTCTCTTCATTGCGTTGTCGAATTGTGTTTGAGAGAGAGAGAGAGAGAGAGAGAGAGAGCGAGAGAGAGAGAGAGAGAGAGAGAGAGAGAGATTGATCCGCGTTACAGACGAGTACGAAGCATATGAAACGAATTCGATCGTATGTGTATGTCGAAATGAAACAAATAATATGGCTTTTTCCCAAGTCAAAATATGATTTCTTCCTCTGTCTCTCGCCCAGTTCAGCCTCAAAGTTCGTTATTTTTCAATTCAGTTTTTTTTTTCTCTTCTTTTTGGCTCGTATCAATTACGATTTTTTTTTTCGGTTGATTTCAACCGATTGGTACGTCGTCGGTCATCTTCTTTTTTTTCTCTGTTTCATTTGTGTGTGCGTTGCTTCTTTCGTTTGCCCCTTTCGAATATATGTATATCCACTCAAATATTTACAATTTAAAGTCTCAAGCATACAAACGATTGTTGTTCATTTGTCCGTTCCAATGATTCGACCATATCTCCTTTGTTAGTGTTGTTCGTTATTGTTATTGTTGTTGTCGCTGGCTCTTTTTTTTTTTTCATCGTTACATTCGGTGTGTTTTCTCTCTTTTCTCTTCAGTCGATCTGTCGATCGCTGTTGCTGGCTCTCCCTGGTCCATCCATGTGTATTTCATTTCGAGTCACTTTCTGTGTATACACACATTCTGCTTCAAAACACAAAATATCTCTCCATCGTAGTAGTTTTTTTTCTTCTGTTGTTGCTTCTCTTCGCTCAAATATGGATATTTTTCAATGTGCACGCACAAATAGAAATAAATTATTTACTTTAGACTAACGTGACACGATTTATTTGTTTCTTTCATATGTATAATTCTTCTTATTTTTCTTCTGAACGCATACAACGTTGTGCCTTCTTTTTTCTTCAAATATTGTGACGACTCGTGGCCGTTGATTGGTGGCGCGACTCATGGTTGCTATACGCGCGCGCACAACCATCAGCCCATCAAACATTTTACAATCATATTTTTTTACGGTCAGAATTCACGGATTGTTTTGTTGTTGCACACTTTCTGTACACTCAAATGCTAAACTATGCACGATGGCAACAATATCACGATCCGTACAAAAAACACCATTTGCGTTGATCGATCAAGAGTTTTCGCGTACTTTTTGCTATACAATTTGGTTAAAAAAATCTCTTTTTTTTTTTCTTAAGAAGACTGTTTTTATTCAGAAACTTCTATTCATTTTCCATTTAATAGAAAGTTCTTTGACGAAATTGTTGAAAATTGCTTAAACTCACGAAACCAAACTTAAAAAATCGAAATAAAGACTCTTGCGGCTCATTTTTGATTAGAAACTCGCACTGTAAGTCTTACAGAACTCCATTTAAACGACCATATTGTGATATGATGTGAGTGTACTTCATATCCTTTCACACAGAAAGCAATAATTGGTCAAGGTGACGATCATCGTCGAAGGGGCTTACCAAATTTTCAAAATGACAGAAATCAATTGCAATTTCTTTTTTTCTCCAAAAATAAAAAGCTCGGCAGTCATCATTGTTGCCACACATTTATTTTGGGCTATTTTTGGCTGTTGTTTCTTTACCTGACACATCACATGTAATGGACGGTAAACAAAATCGTCAGTGCACACATGTACACACAAACGAAGAGGCATTGAGTCAGATTGAATGGTTAAACAAATGGTTTCATCAAAATCGACGATCAAATCACATTGAAATTCACATACGTTTTACCTGTTTTTGGTGCGGATTTTATAGCAAGACTCACTCAAAAGGAGAAAAAGGGCAAAAAAAAAGCGGAAAAAGGAAGAAAAAAAGAATTCATTTTCGATTTGATCCAACACAAGATGATTTCATATTTCCATTGCCGTCGCTATAGTTCAATTAAAATTCCATCATTCCCTACGACTAAATCCAAAAGCCGCATAGCTCAGTATGACTCAAATTCCCTACGCAGCAACGAAGATAAATATTTTTTGTTATTAAAATCGTCATAATTAATAACTGAAATCTATGCCGTCAAATTGGTACTGTTGACGCCGTGTGTATGAACAAAACAAAAACCAATTTGCTGTTAATATTTTTTCCATGATTCTGTTTTATTTTTATTTTTCTTGGGTAATTTTTCCATGAGTCGGCTGTGGATGAGAGGCAGCTCAGTGTTGTAAATACGAATAAATTTATCAAAGGAAGTCGATTGAAAGTCCCGCGCATTGGCAAAGTATTCTGATTTGATGAAGTGTTGAATAGCATGTAAAAATAAAACCGGACTGCATAGAGCTCAGTGCCCGGTTCTGTAATAATGCAGCATCAACAGCTAAACAATAATGCATAATAAACCCTGCAATAAAATGTATTGAATGATCACAGCCACCGCCATCCCTTTACAATAAACGGCTCGGTTGTTGCAGTCCATTTGCAGTGGAACAAATGCGCGCGCGCACACGCTTGCTCACAGTAGATGAAATTATATTAGGAATGCCATTTTTCCATTGCATTGCTTTGTTTTTGCTTTCGAAATCGACAAATCTGAATTATTTAAAACGATTTATGAATATTGTGCGTTCAATTTTTTTTTTTTTCAAAGATGAAAATGAGCAACGAATTCGATTGAATGATTTTCAACACGTCGAGAAAATGATTCGTTCTCCTAACCTGATCAGCAGAGGAACAATCGAGCCACTATGTTATCACGTTGTTAAAGTCGAAATACTAGATATTAAATCGCTTCTACGGTGTATATTGGGCCAATTCATTTAAGCCCATCGCATTTTTATGGCATCAAATCTTCTTTAAACTCTATTACCTGCCATAAATGACTTTTTACTTAAGCTCACCTTCAATTCGGGGGGGATACCCATCCAATTCAATTTTGAAGATGCCGCCGTTTGACTAACCCTTTGAACTTGTTCGTGTTTAACATCACATTCGGATTCGCTCTCGATTTCTTTTCGGTTTACTTCACCTGCAATTGAAGCAGTGTAATTTCCAAAGTGTTTTTATTAGAACCAAATTTGAAGTTCAAACTTTGAACTGAAGATGGAAAGAGAACCAAGAGTCTTATTGAATATTTTCTTCCTTCGAAATTTCCTTTTTTTTTATAAAATGTGTTCTTGTGCTACTCTTGCAGGGAAGAAAAATGTCGAGTTCACATGCTTTATCAACGATTGAACCGCTGATACCGAGTTCCAGTAACAGTTTATTGACAACCACATCAAATGACCGTAGTCGTAGTCCAGACAATGATCGCAATCTATGCGTTATGCTTGATGATCGAGGTAAGAGATCCCAAATTCTATACTTCTAGTCATCCACCAATTTCATTCTTAGTCATTCCAAAAACCAAGTGAATTTTCAATTGAAATTTATCAATTCAATGTTGATTTTTCCTTTCTTTTTCTCTCTATCGACAGATTTATGGATGCGCTTTCAAAATTTGACCAATGAAATGATTGTCACGAAAAATGGCCGGTAAGTCATAGTGAATGGTAGTGATATGGTGAGCATGAATGAAACCGTTCCGCCTGACGTTGTTTTTTTTTCCTTCTTCTTGTCTTGCGGAGAGAGAAAATGTTGTTTAACTATGATAATACGGATCATGGAGACAAACATATGCCATAACACAACCGGCTGAGATGGCATACGAAATGAAATAGAAAAAACTGAAATCCATTCGGGAAAAAAAATCCATATTTAATAAAATGCTCACGATTTTGACGATCGATCGCATTAGTTATCTTTGAGCGCGCGCTTTTTTTTTTCTCTCTTTACTTAATTTTGTTTTCACACAATTTCAAAACTAATTAAATCCGGAGATTGTTTTTTCCCTTCGTTTTGCTCATTTGAAATCGACGATCAACGTTCAAATCCATTAAGCGAAAAAAAAAAACAACACAACTCGTCCGCAATTGGAAGAGAAAACAAAAATCCATTTTGAACAAAATGGTTTTTCGAATACGGTGAAGAATGAAAAAAACACACCACGACTGCCGACGTATTCTGTATACATGATATTGATTTTGAACAGAAATGAGTTAAGATCGTGCCGGCAGAATGTGATCGAATGAGATGCAGTTCCCAGAACGTGTGGCTCTGATCAAAGCCGAGCCCGTTCTGCGCAAAAACCTGTTAATTGATCAACTGTGCATAAAAGTTCTTTCAATACATTTTAAGACATCATAATTAAGTGCAATGCAAAATTTCCATCAACATACTCACGGGATGTACACTGTTTGTTTTACAAAAAACCATTTTCCGCTCTTTTTTTCGCTCTCTCTCTCTCTCTCTCTCTCTCTCTCTCTCTCTTCTCTTTAGGCGCATGTTTCCCGTGGTAAAGATTACAGCCAGCAATCTTGATCCGGCCGCCATGTATTCATTCTACTTGGAATTTGTGCAAATTGATAATCATCGATGGAAATACGTGAATGGCGAATGGGTAAGTGCCATCCGATGTAGTTTTTTTCTTCTCTTTTCGGTTTTGACAATTCGTTCCAAAGGTAAATTCATTTTTGCAAAGAAAATTATTCGCCGCCAACATGCTGCAAAGTAATTTGGAGCAAGCTGCACTTTGTATGCAAGCCGATGACAATGCACGGCCGAATCGAATTGGGTCTTGTTATTCTCACACAAGCGGAGTGTGGTTTTTTTTTTCTTCTCTTAAAACAAAAAGAAATACCGATTTGAAGTCGCTAATCAGTGTAGAAAAAGGCGAGAGGGAAAGAGAAAAAGGCATACGAGTAAATAGTTACAGATGCACACGTATGAGCTCGTCATTGAAAAAAAAGAAACAATCGACTTGCAATGTGCTAATTAATAAATCAGTTTTTACAAACGTAACGCGTATGTTTTTTTTCTCTTCTCAAGTGTGTCTCCTTTGAAACGTTTCGGCATGATTTTTCGTTCAGCAGAGAAAAAGCTTTGCTAAATGTTCAAAGTCTGTAACCAAACTGGTGAATGTTGAAAATGGATTGAAAAGCAATGCAAAATGTTGCACCAGAAAAAATCTACTTTGTGATTCTAAAACTTTTTTTTCTAAATTCAATTCAGGTGGCTGGTGGAAAAGCTGAAGCTCCGCCATCAAATCCCATTTATGTGCACCCTGAATCGCCAAATTTCGGTAGTCACTGGATGAAAGAGCCCATTTCCTTTGCCAAAGTTAAGCTAACCAACAAAGCCAATGGAAACGGACAAATTATGCTGAATTCTCTGCACAAATACGAGCCACGAATCCTTTTGGCCCGTGTCAGTTCGGAGCATCAACGTGTTATACCATATCCATATCCAGAGACACAATTCATTGCTGTGACTGCATATCAAAATGAAGAGGTGACATCACTGAAAATCAAGTACAATCCATTTGCCAAGGCGTTTCTCGATGCAAAAGAACGACCGGATGCGATTTATTCACGAGATGGCGGCAGTTATGGCTGGTTTATACCGCCAGCTTCATCTTATGCATCATCGTCACCCACGCATAGCGGCCCCATCGGAACGGCACATAATCGGCGACAAATCGAAAACAAGCAAGACAATCAACAGCATGAAACGAGTACAACATCGTCATCATGCGAACGATATGGAACCGTTTCAACGGTGCGAACTACAACCGCACGATCAGCACCTTATACAACACATCGTCCTCGTGCGATTAGCAATAACAGTTTATCACCACCGTCATCATCGTCTAGCTACTTGCCTTTAGATCCAGTTCCTTCGTCAATTTATGCCAGCTATCCAAATTGGCAGAATTCAACGGCCTCTTACTGGTCAACTACCACACCAGGCAGTCCAATAAGTAAGTTTCAGTTGAGATCGAGCATTTTTTTTTTCTTCTTTTTTTTCGTTTTGGTTTTATCAGAAAAATTGTTTTGCTTCCATTTTTTCAGCATCAGCCGTTTCGCCAACGCATTCGGGTGACTCGCCCGTATACGCTTCACATCATTTAGCATCGCAGGCTTATTCAACCGGAGCAACCGCTCAGGTTGACCTCTATCAAATGCCCAATAACAATAACTCACCACCTCAGTTTTATGCAACTCCCGCAGCACCGACCACCCATCAAATGTACCACCCGTCACCAACATCATCATCGCAGATCTATGGCAATATGCTGAATGCACCAACATTAACAAATCTAAGCTATGCATCTACATGGCATTCCGGTGCTGACTATGGCATGTTTCAAAATAGCTACCACTATCAGGCACCCGAATACATTCCAATTATTAGTGACTTGAGGTAAGTGGTTGGTTAGCATTCTAATGAAATTTGATACTTGCCACAAACAAAAAGAGTAATCAGATGAATCAAGTAGAAATGAGGTACTCGAATGAAATCAGAATTATCATTATTATTCGATGTTAAAACAGAAAATTTCAAAATAATTTAATCAATTATTTTCATCTACTTTAATCTACTTTCATCCATCTAGTTCATCGTATGCGCCACAAATCCACGAAAATCCAATTCAACCATTGCCAAAATCGGAGAATAATTCGGATTCGGCGGCCAATAATGCCAATGTCTACAATCAACCGAATAATTCGCCCGAGATATTGATGACGTTGGAATGCAATGGAAATCGTACATCTGTGGTCACGCCTATCATTGACAAACAAACACAACCTCAGCAAACAGCCCAAACACCAAATTCCACGCAACAAATGACCGCTGCACAAACACCGTCAACCGATCAACACTTGAATCGAACGAATTGGGAACCATTGACCCCACCACAATAACAAAATAACAAACCATTCACTTGTTTATGTCTCTGTTTTCTTATGGTTCTTTTTTCTTCTTATTTTTCTTTTTCTTCGAGAAGCCAAACAACTTGTACTCTGCATTCTGACAATCAAGATTTTTTTTTGCTGCGTGCATTTTATATGGATAATTACCCACTGAATGACTTCTGATAAGAATGACGAAAAAAGAATTTCTTTAAATAATTTTTAGGCCAAGTATATCATTCCAAATCTCAGTCTCTCTCTCTCTCTCTCTCTCTCTCTCTCTCTCTCTCTCTCTCTCT